TATTAAGATTTGAAACACTTGATACCCTCGTCACAATTCTACCATCCTAAAGACATATATCAATATAAACAAATATGATTTACATGATATAGTAGAAAATACTTTTTTATTGATTAATAAACATTATTACAAAGGGTCAATTCTATAATAATTGATTGGCTCTAGGGCACTTACTCCAACAAGCATACCACAATAAGATACAAAGTTTTATGATTGTGGCACATTTATGTTGAAGTTTATAGAGTACTTTATGCGCAACATCCCGTTTTCCTATATCGAGAGACATGATGGACCCATACTTAGGATGCATATTGCGTATTCAATTTTTCATAGAGTAATACTTGTATAGTAGTAAATTAATAAACAATGTAATTGTACATGCTTTTATTGAAGTTTAATAATAATATTTGTTTTTGTATATGCAATTATATAAGTTTATTGACAAATTATGCTTATGATTAGATTGTGTTTACATTGCTTTCCAATGGTATGGTTCTTTATAATTACAGGTATCAATTCTTTTAAAACAGAAATCTAGAATTATGCTGATTATCAAGCCTTATTGGTCTACAAAGTTATAGATAATGATCATTATAAGGAAAAATACACTATTTTACACTATTTTTGTATTGTTAAAGTGTAAGTAATCAATACATTATAAGCTACAAAGCATACTCATTAAAGTTCAAGTCATCTATACATTCAAATCTTCAAGAAAAAATCTTCCCCTGTACGTATTGTATCGAGTCATCGGGCTTAGACACCCAAGTCCTCCGTACTTCACAACTCACAAGAACCCAAATAACATCTATTTTTCTTCAAAGTTAATATCATAGATTAATATATGCACAAGTATAAACAAATTTCAGAATTCATAACACAAAAAAAACAGAGTAACAATTAAAAATAACAATACCTAATACATATCAATCGGGCATTATTCTAGAACCCATAATACCTAAGATCCACTTTGTTGGGTATTTCTACTTCGAATGTTTGCTATACCCTATTATTAGGTGCTGATGGGGTTGTTGAAAATGCATGCCTGATAGTGTCTGATTATCGGGTATTGACCACTAGTGGTCTTCTACCTCTAGCGTAAACTTAGTTGAAACTACTCCAAATTCACAATCTCAACTATTTTATATACATTCTTGTTTACAAATTTATATAACAAGCATATATATTACCCAATCCAAGCTTATATACAATATTTAAGACCGAATCTATAAGAAATTTTCAATTATGTACTAATCTATCAAATATTTTAAGGAAAATGATAGAGTTACCGAAAAGTTTACACTGAATTTGTGCACCGAATGACGTGGCAAAATCCTGACCGTTGATTAATATTAACTGATAATAAATCAACGGTCAGGATTGTGTCACGTCATTTGGTGCACAAATTCGGTGCACACCCGTCGGTAACTGTAGCATTACTCATATTTTAAATCATAAATATATCTATTGGGACTTCTAGTAGAAGCAAAACTCAACAAATGAACCAAATAATGTCTTCTTCTCAACAAATTAAGCTTCAATAATGCTTGATAGTGTGAGAACTTGTTGATAAGAAAGAAAAATTGTCAGCAGAGAAGAGGTGTTAGGCTAAGTGTTAATTGAAGCAAAAGGGGCAATTTCGTCCAAATTGAGACAAAATATATGGAAGGTATATTTGGTGAGAAACTTTTTTTTTTTAGGAAAAATTATAAATTAAATCCTGAATTAGGGACATTTAATAAAGTATCGCTTTTAAATATTAAAAACATTAAATAAAAACAAATAAAACCGCACCCGCCCAGAAAAAACCATTACTTTGAATTCCCACCACAGCCCCACATCCTACCAACACCACCTCTACTTCGCTTCTTTTCCTTCGGCGCATCTTCATCTTATTCAGTCTCTCCTCCCTCCTCAAGTGCATGGGCCATGGCTACCAACTAAAGAGGCAACATCTTGCCTGCAAATTCACTAGTTTCATATCCCAAAGATCAAAAGTCAGATACAAGTCCTCCAATTGTTGAGCCAATTTAAGTCGAAGTCTTGTGTGATACAGATCCAGAGTTGGCCGATTTGGTTAACCGAGACGAATTCTCGAAACCCAACTCAGTTGCACCACAAAGAAAAGATCCAGAGATTCATATTTTTATTGTATTATTGAATTTTAAGAATTACAGTTAAGAAATTCATAAGGTATTGAAGGACAAAAATGCCTTTACTTGATTTACTGGAATGTAGCTGCCTCGGTCTAATATTAGGGTTAATTGGGTCCAGGTTCTTAGCCCAAAACTAAGGAACCGAAACCAGAATTGCACAGTATTAGTTTCTGGATTTTAGGAACCAAAATTGGAATCGGTACTATGTGGTTCCTAAATCTTAGAACCGGAACCAAAACTAGTAGATTCTGGTTCTGGTTACCTTTTAATGTGCAAAAAATTGTAGAACCGGTTTCAGTTACCTTATACTGGATCTCGATTTCGATTCTGGTTCCTAAAGTTGTGGAATCGGTACTGGAATCGCACCATACCGATTTTCAGAATTAGAACCTACCCACCTAGTTTTTGTTTCGGGTAGGAACTGAAACCAAAGCATTGGATACCCTGTGGTTCCAGTACCCCCCGAGATTTCTGCTCTGCCCCATCTAATAGGGGCTAAAGTAGCTTATTCTGATCTTACTGGACCTAACATGCTTTTGTAAACCTTAGGGATGTAAATGTTATTGATTCTTTGTTGCTCTTGAATTCAACGATTTTGCTCAACACAATCTGTAATAGTTATCTGTTAGCAAGATCTGAAAAAGGGGTAAAATGTCACTTTAGTTAAAATTTTGGGTTAAAAATGAGAGTAAAATTATTTTGGGTCTAATTTATCTTGGTTAATTTCAGTGGGTGAAATTAATTACCTCTTTTTTAAATCCTAGGATTCTGACTCTTATCAACTAATTTATAATTAAAATTTAAATATAAGATTTTTTTTATATAAATATACGTTTTAATAATTACATCAAAAAATAAATATATTTCTTTAACTGAATATATAGTATAATGTAAATTCATATTTGATAAAAGAATTAATAATTATTTTGTTACTTTGTCAAAAGTTTGCTAGGTTTGTACATTTATCATCCAGTCAGAAGCTTCCTTTTTTTTTTTTTTTTTTTAACAACTTATTAAGATAAACCGGTAAACCATTCATTTAAGTTAAAAATTTGGGTTAAAATGTTAGTATTAAATTTATTTTGGGTCTAATTAGAGTAAAATTATACTACCTATTTTTAAGTCTTATGACTTAATAATGACAAAATTAAAAAAAAAAAAAAAAACTGATATTATTTGAGCGTGTTGACTTATGCAACAAAACTTTGATGCTTTAATTTGTGGTTGAACCTTGATTGGGCTTTGCTTGTAGAAAATGATATCCTTGACAAACTATTAATATAAAATTATGTTAATTTAGAGATTATGTTTCTTAAAATTCATAAAATTTTCTAAATTCTTAAAAGCTATTATAATTGGAAAGACTTTATAATTTAATAATTGAATATTCTTCGCATCTTTTATAATGATCATGGACTCGAAAATTACAACTTTATATCTTTTAACATTCCACTAAAATATTGATAATATATCTTTATATATTATTTCTCTGAGATAATCAATTTTAATTTTAATTTTTTAAGTGCTATTGCAACGCCAGTTCTGCTTCATTGTATGCATGTTTTCCGACGCCAATTTCATGAAGAAAATTATTAAAAGTATTGTGACGATAAATTGAGTCTGTAGAAACACTGTATTCCGACACCATGTCCGACGTCGGAGAAATACTCATTGGAAGAGAGCAATTTTTTCTGCAGTGTGTAAGAACATATTTGTGATCAGAATTGAACCATTAATCCCTTAATTATAAAGTTTATTTTTCTTGGACACGGAGCCATTCATTCTGTTAGTTTATAAGAAAACCATATCTAGTAGTTTTTTTTGGAATTTCTTTCCCAAATTCTATTTGTAAATCTTTCTCACAACCAAATTCATGGAGAAATTCCAAATTTAAGTGGCAGTGTTAGTTTTTGAAAGCTCTACTTGCAATCGAATAGGCTGTCAGGTCCACTACCTGGTATACCTTCAAGTTTTAATAATCTCAATCTTTCAAACAATAATTTCTCCGGATCTATTTCTTTAATTTTGTGTTCAGGGATTAAAGTTCTAGAGTTTCTCATGCTTAAAGATAATTTTTTATCTGGAGAAATACTTGATTGTTGGATGAATTCAAGATTGTTGAAGGTACTGGATTTAGGGAACAATAAATTCACTGGTAACATTCCAACCTCCATTTGAAATTTGTGGTGGGCTTTTGGACTGTAATTGCTCCTTTACATGTCAACAGAAGATGGAGGTTTAACCGTTTAAGTATTGTAATTTCCTAGATCGTCTAGGGAACAACCTTTACTATTTAGTAAAAAAAAAAAATGTTGCTAGATCATTTATGTTTCCAGCTATGTTTGTTCGATTGAAGAGACTAATAAATGTTGAAATAAGGATCTTGTTTTCATTCCAAAGTGTTTGTTCCATGTTAAACTTTATCTTTGTTACGGAATAGGTTTATGTTCTTTCAGACTCATTGACCAAATTCACTTGTAATTTTTTCACTAGATATGGAATACTGCACATTTGATGAGGTATGAATACAATTTGATTGATCCTATAAGTTAAATAAGGCTTGAAACTTATGTGAAAAAAAAAAAATGATAATAATAACGTTAAATAACAATGCTTCAGAGAAGCAAAACACACACACACACACAAAAGCTAAAAATGTCAGGAAATATATATAATACTGAAGAGGATTTTATTTAAATCTTAGAAAGTATAATAATAGTGAACTCATTTGTATAAAATTTCAGGAAATACACCATTGTTAAGAATTTTGAGTTAGTACTATTTGTTCATTTCCAATACTTCAAGATATCAGAAGACTCAAAAAGTTTCCTCTAGGGCCTAGGGGGAAAATATTTTGAGTCATGTGGCTAACTCTAATGCTGATGAAAAGAAAAATAAATGCAAAGATGAAATTAAAGAAACAGTTTATCAAGAAGATCTGGGTTGAGTTTGTGGAGTGATGAAACCTGACCAACTTGTTTAGCCAACAATCCAGTGACTCGATCCATGTATAGAACATAAAGCCCATTTCTGCTTTCCAAAAGTTCTGCTGCTTTTCTTGTTTGGAGGACTAATTCAACCCACTCTTCGAAGAGCACTGCAATGTCATCATTGGCCAGTTCATATGTTTCAGGCATTGTCAAATTTCGAAAAGCTTTAGCTTTATATTGAGCTTGAGTGCGAGAAACAATTTGAAAACTTAATTGGCTTGAAAGGAATGAAGTAGCATAACATACTTTTGTCGAAGAATTCACTGTTTGACCAAGTTAATAAGTAATCTGATAATAGAAACTCAATAAGCTGGATCCTGCCACCCACAAAAACAACTTAGACAAAGCTAGCTATTCCGGAATACTAGATGATAGATATATGGAAAGTTAAATAAAAATTTTGAATAGAAGTTGGTTTCTACAAGGTCATTCAATTTGGATTAAGGAATTAATACAACACTTTGTGCAGAGGTTGCTATGAACTTGGCCATGAATAGTTGAGCTGCCCTATTGATTAAACCATACACCCAAGACTTTCACACTACTCTCTCAGGCATTACAGCTTCATTACAATGAAAAATGACAATTCCACTGTCAAAGTTTTCAATTGAAAAAAATGGGAGACCAAATGCTTGAGGAAAAGCTTTTTAAACTGCCCAGCTCTTTGCTAATTCAGTAAAAGATATAAACCTTAATTTAGGTATGGAATCTAATCGAACGTTGATACAAAACATCACTCAATGGAATAATTGGATTAGAATGAGGAGAGGTGATCATGAATGCAAATAGTTACTGAAGTACTTACATTATAAACATGCACTCGTTCATACTGAGGAAAGAAGCATCAAATGGATCTGAGAAAAGCAAGCTTTCTGCTACTACAGAAATTCTTTGGGATACTGAGAATATGACACGCTGTCCAATATAGGCTTCACTTGCAAGCTTACGGATCAGGTGTTGAATACAGAATTGAGAATTGTCGTCAATATGAAGTGACTCTGAGTCAGCACCTTGAAAGCAAAAACAAAGAAAATGGAAAAACTAAAAAGTACATAAAGGTAACATCGCTGGAAAAATGGGAATCGTGCAATGATTTGATGCTCCTACTTATGAATATCACTATAGGGTAATAAGAAAAAGAGTTCCTGAACCTTTAAACAACATATATCTATGAAAAATGTTAGAAGTATACCATCTTCTTTCAAGGGGCAACACATTCTTTTAACCAAGTGCACAATTAAGCTGCTGATTATCCCTTCAATAATTTCTTTGCTCTTTCCCTCTGTTAATAGATTCCTCAATGATGCTTCAGGACAAAGATTTTAAATAGCATTAGGGTAGAGTTAACTAACAAGAAAATACATGTACTATAAATAGTCAGAAAACATAAAGGAGCACTTAATACCATGTACAATTGCGACCCTGTCAATGTGAATAGCAAGAAACTAGAGCACAGACTTAGCCAAATGCTATCAGTTAACAATTGAAGTTTAAACAAGGAAACCTTTAACACTCAACAAAATTGCATATCCTAACTACTCTGGGTCTAACAACCAACACCACAAGATATGTGATTTGAAAAGATGGATTTTGTTCACTCATTAAAGAACAAAGCAAATATAATGGCTTCATTAAAATCTCTTCTGTCTACTCTTTTCTAATTGCCAAAATGATCTATCCAAGCCAAGGGTGTCAAACATATTTTTAAGATATTTAAAGTTGACTTCAATTTAACTGCAATATACTGATACAACTTCTTATACCAATACAATTTACAGGCATCTCATGTGAGTGCCTCACCTAAAATGAAGTCCACAGCTTGGTGAGACCAATTAGCAAAATTGCCCTCTTTTGCCTGCAAAAATTGTAAGGCACCCAACATATGTAAATACAATACAGCAGTGATGATGTAGAGCACATAGGAAAATTTCAGTAGGTCCCTCTAACCGGAGAAACAGTGTTGCAAAGCTCCACAAGAAAATCAACAGAGCCCCTAAGCTGCTCCACCTGATCCTCATAGCTCAACTCTATATTTGTAACAAAAATTAACATTAAACAGGTTTATACTAAACACCTTTCTTGCTGTTAAATACTCATGAATTCAGAAATATAATGACAAAGAAATTCCCCACCAGCAATCAAGAAAGCAAAATCTGACTTAGTTACTCTAGAATTTCATAAGTTCCTCATTTTGAAATTAAAATATAACAAATCAAAAAGTCTAACAATGCTGTAAAATTGAATGTTGAACTATAATATTAAACTATCAAACTTGTAATATGTTATAAATTTACATTTCAATTTATCGTTCCAATGCAAATTAAAATTAGCAAAAAATTAACTATATATCAAGTAAATGGACTTCAAAATAGAACTACATTTTCCATAATATACCTGTAAAACGTCGTCGTTGAGCGGAATCGCCTATTCTTCTCCTCCTTTCCTTCAGTCTCACTGCATAATTAACAAACACTATAACAACAACAGCAACGGTAGTTGATGATTATCATTAAAACAATAATAAGAGAATGAACAATAATGACCTTGTCTGAGAAATCTGCGGCGAAGAACGTCGTTGAACCGACGATGAGAGGCATCTCCATCGATCTTAGGGCTTAATTTTCCCAAATTATCAAAGAAATAGCACTTACAAGAAGCCGATTGCGGAAACAAATCGCAATGCGAAGAATCTAGATCCAAAATCAAACAATAAAATAAAATAAAAAATCAGCGAATTATTAAAACAGAAAAAAAAAAAAAAATTTCAGAACCTAACCTTCAGCTTCTCTTAGATGCTCTCTCAGCCTGATGAGCTCTTGCTTCCGCTCCTTCGCCTGAAATTTCGACAAAATTAGGATCTGTTTGGTTACGGAGATAACTCAATTCGTGACAGTTGATGGAGATTTATAGAGACCTTCCGCTTCCAGCGAAGTACATCGGATTCAGAAGAAGGCTGAGTGCTTTGATTTTTATTAAGGCGGAGCTTTGATCGGATAAGAGAAATGGCGACGGCGAGCTTAACAGAATCGTCGTTTGAAGCTGAAGATTTTGAATTTCTATTCGTTTGCATTTCAGTTGTGGATATTTTTGTAAAGCGCGCGAGATTATGGCTTTCAAAGCTGTTTACAACTTTATATAGGTGATTAATTTATTTAAAAAAACGAAATTATTTTTAAATTTATTTTTCATTTTTTAAATATTTTTGTTCATATAAGCAGAAAAAAGAGAGCTTAGTTTTGATATCATAACATGTCACAACATCTTTTTGATATATTTTACAATATCTTTTAAAAGAATAAACGATGTCGTTTTGTTACTAAATTTTATAACTTCACATATTAAACCGGTGTAGTCTAAATTATCAAATATGACGTGAATAAATATACAACATATAAAAGTTTTTTTTTTAAATTATAATCACTATATCCTGTATCAGATTTAAAGGCTTATTTTTCTATTATGATGACAATGTTACCACGTTCAAAGAATAATATATATTTTTTTAATTATTAGCTAATATGATACACAAAAACACTTTTAATAGATAATGATCATTATAAGAAAAATACATTCAAAATACAAGCTACAAGCATAATTACACTATTTTTGTATGTTTAAGTGTAAGTAATCAATACATTATAAGCTACAAAGCATACTCATTAAAGTTCAAGTCATCTATACATTCGAATCTCAAGAAAATATTCCCCTAACATATGGTATCGAATCACCGGCTTAGACACCCAACGTCCTCCGTACTTCACAAGAACCCGAATCATCTATTTTTCTCAAAGTTAATATCATAATTAATATATGCACAAATATACACAATTTCAGAATTCAGAACACAAAATAAACGAGTAACATTGACCTAACAGTACCTTATACATATCAATCGGGCATTTTTCTAGAACCCATAATACCTAAGATCCACTTTGTTGGGTGTTTCTACTTCGAAGGTTTGCTATACCCTATTATTAGGTGCTGATGAGGTTGTTGAAAATGTATGCCTGATAGTGCTTGATATCAGGTATTGACCACAAGTGGTCTTCTACCTCTAGTGTAAACTTAGTTGAAACTAATCCAAATTCACAACCGCAACTATTTATATACATTCTTATTTACAAATTAATATAACAAGCATATATATTACCCAATCCAAGCTTATATCAATATTTAAGACCGATCTATAAGAATTTTTCAATTATGTACTATCTATCAAATATTTTAAATCATAAATATATCTATTGGTTTGACTTCTAGTAGAAGCAAAACTCACAAATGAACCAAATATGTCTTCTTCTCAACAAATTAAGCTTCAATAATGCTTGATAGGGTAAGAACTTGTTGATAAGAAAGAAAAATTGTCAGCAGAGAAGAGGTGTTAGGCTAAGTGTTAATTGAAGCAGAAGGGGCAATTTCGTCCAATTGAGACAAAATGTATGGAAGGTATTTTTGGTGAGAACTTTTTTTTTTTGGGACTATTGTCAATTAAATCCTGAATTAGGGACATTTAAATAATTTCTCTTTTAAATATTAAAAACATTAATAAAACAAATAAAACGCACCCGCCCAAAAAAAAAACCATTACTTTGAACTCCCACCACGGCCCCACATCCTACCAACACACCTTACTTCGCTTCTTTTCCTTCGGCGCATCTTCATCTTATCAGTCTCTCACTCCCTCCTCAATGCTGGCCATGGCTACCAACTAGAGGCAACATCTTGCCTGCAAATTCACTAGTTTCATATCCCAAAGATCAAAAGTCAGATACAATCCCCCAATTGTTGAGCCAATTTAAGCAGAAGTCTTTGTGATACAGATCCAGAGTTGCCGATTTGGTTAACCGAGACAAATTCTCGAAACCCCCTCAGTTGCCCACAAAGAAAAGATCCAGAGTTTCATATTTTTATGTATTATTGAATTTTAGAATTACAGTTAAGAATTCATAAGGTATTGAAGGCAAATATGCCTTTACTTGATTACTGGAATGTAGCTGCCTGGTCTAATATTAGGGTTAATGGGTCCAGTTTCTGCCCAAAACTAAGAACCGAACCGAATTGCACAGTATTAGTTTCTGGATTTTAAGACCAATGGAATCGTACTATGTGGTTCCTAAATCTTAGAACCGAACCAAAACTAGTAGATTCTGGTTCTGGTTACCTTTTAATGTGCAAAATTGTAGAACCGGTTTAGTTACCTTTATTGGATCTCGATTTGGACTCTGTTCCTAAAGTTGTGGAACCGTACTGGAATCGCACCATACCGATTCTATTTTCGAATTAGAACCTACCACCTAGTTTTTGTTTCGGGTAGAACTGAGACCAAACATTGGGTACCCTGTGGTTCCAGTTCCCCCCGAGATTTCTGCTCTGCCCCATCTAATAGGGGCTAAAGTAGCTATTCTGATTTTAGTGGACCTAACATGCTTTTGTAACCTTAGGATGTAAATGTTATTGATTCTTTGTTGCTCTTGAATTCAACGATTTTGCTCACACAATCTGTAATAGTTACTGTTAGCAAGATCTGAAAAAGGGGTAAATTGTACTTTAGTTAATTTTTGGGTTAAAAATGAGTAAAATTATTTTGGGTCTAATTTATCTTGGTTAATTTCAGTGGTTGAATTAATTACCTCTTTTTAAATCCTAGGATTCTGACCTTATCAACTAATTTATAATTAAAATTTAAATATAAGATTTTTTTATTAAATATACGTTTTAATAATTACATCAAAAAATATATATTTATTTAACTGAATGAATATTATAATGTAATTCAAATTTGATAAAAGAATTAACAATTATTTTGTTACTTTGTCAAAAGTGTGCTAGATTTGTACATTTATCACCAGTCAGAAGCTTTTTTTTTTTTGTTTACAACTTATTAAGATAAACAGTAAACCATTCATTTAAGTTAAAAATTTGGGTTAAAATGTTAGTATTAAATTTATTTTGGGTCTAATTAGAGTAAAATTATACTACCTATTTTTAAGCTTATGACTCTAATAATGACAAAATTTAAAAAAAAAAAAAAAAAAAACTGATATTATTTGAGCGTGTTGACTTATGCAACAAACTTTGATGCTTTAATTTTGGTTGAACTTGATTGGCTTTGCTTGTAGAAAATATTCCTTGCAAACTATTAATTAAAATTATGTTAATTTAGAGATTATGTTTCTTAAAATTCATAAAATTTTCTAAATTCTTAAAAGCTATTATAATTGGAAAGACTTTATAATAATAATTGAATATTCTTCGCACTTTTATAATGATCATGGACTCGAAAATTACAACTTTATATCTTTTACATTCCACAATATTGATATATATCTTTATATATTATTTCTCTGAGATAATCAATTTTAATTTTAATTTTTTAAGTGCTAGCACGCCTGTTCTGCTCATGTATGCATGTTTTCCGACGCCAATTTCATGAAGAAAATTATTAAAAGTATTGTGACGATAAATTGAGTCTGTAGAAACACTGTATTCCGACACCATGTCCGACGTCGGAGAAATACTCATTGGAAGAGAGCAATTTTTTCTGTAGTGTGTAAGAACATATTTGTGATCAGAATTGAACCATTAATCCCTTATTTAAGTTTTTTTTTCTTGGCACGGACCATTCATTCTGTTAGTTTATAAAAAACCATATCTAGTAGTTTTTTTGGAATTTCTTTCCCAAATTCTATTTGTAAATCTTTCTCACAACCAAATTCATGGAGAAATTCCAAATTTAAGCGGCAGTGTTAGTTTTCGAAGGCTCACTTGCAATCGAATAGGCTGTCAGTCCCCTACGTGGTATACCTTCGAGTTTCAATAATCTCAATCTTTCAAACAATAATATTTTTCACAATCTTCAAACATATTTCTCCGGATCTATTTCTTTAATTTTGTGTTCAGGGATAAAGTTCTAGAGTTTCTCATGCTTAAGATAATTTTTTATCTGGGAAATACTTGATTGTTGGCTGAATTCAAGATTGTTAAGGTACTGGATGTAGGGAACAATAAATCACTGGTACATTCCAACCTCCATTTGAAATTTGTGGTGGGCTTTTGGACTGTAATTGCTCCTTTACATGTCACAGAAGATGGAGGTTTAACCGTTTAAGTATTGTAATTTCCTAGATCGTCAGAGGAACAACCTTTACTATTTAGTAAAAAAAAATGTTGCATATCATTTATGTTTCCAGCTATGTTTGTTCGATTGAAGAGATAATAAATGTTGAAATAAGATCTGTTTTTCATTCCAATGTTTTGTTCCATGTTAAACTTATCTGTACGAATAGTTTCTTCAGACTCATTGACCAAATTCACTTGTAATTTTTTCACTAGATTGGAATACTGCACATTTGATGAGGTATGAATACAATTTGATTGATCCTATAAGTTAAATAGCTTGAAACTTATGTGAAAAAAAAAAAATGATATAATAACGTTAAATAACAATGCTTCAGAGAAGCAAACACAACACACACACAAAGCTAAAAATGTCAGGAAATATTAAATAACTGAGAGGATTTTATTTAAATCTTAGAAAGTATAATTAGTGACTCATTTGTATAAAATTTCAGGAATACACCATTGTTAAGAATTTTGAGTTAGTACTATTTGTTCATTTCCAATACTCAAGATATCAGAAGACTCAAAAGTTTCCTCTAGGGCCTAGGGGGAAAATTTTGAGTCATGTGGCTACTCTAATGCTGAGAAAAGAAAAATAAATGCAAAGATGAAATTAGAAACAGTTTATCAGAAGATCTGGGTTGGTTTGTGGATTGATGAAACTCACCAACTTGTTTAGCCACAATCCGGTGACTCGATCCATGTATAGAACATAACCCATTTCGCTTTCCAAGTTTCGCTGCTTTTCTCGTTGGAGGACTGATTCAACCCACTCTTCGAAGAGCACTGCAATGTCATCATTGGCCGTTCATATGTTTCAGGCATTGTCAAATTTCGAAAAGCTTAGCTTTATATTGAGCTTAGAGTGCAGAAACAATTTGAAAACTTAATTGGCTTGAAAGAATGAAGTAGCAAACATACTTTTGTCGAAGAATTCACTGTTTGACCAAGTTAATAAGTAATCTGATAATAGAAACTCATAAGCTGGATCCTGCCACCCACAAA